TCGTAGTTATGTTTTTCGGTATAATTAATTAACTGAATAATATTAACATAATATTTTAACCATTAATGCAATTTGGATTTGTCACGCTTGTATCATAGTCCACGCTACTAATGTCACATTGTATTATAAAACAACCGATTAAATAATTATGTAAGGTACCTTTAAAACGTAAAGGAATCAATGTTTTGAGCATTATTAACCCTACTTGTAGCTTTTCGTGAGCCTAATACATTTTGGAATTGCTGACTCTGTAATTTTGTGTGATACCAGTCGATATCTTAAAATTCATTCAATAAATAGAACGTTCAATTGCAACGACACGTAAATGCAACAATAACTTACTATTTATCTTAATGTAGGAATTGGGGAATGCAAGAATTTGAGATTTATATACTATGGTTAATGCGGTAATGCACATCGTTACTCATCGTCCGGGAGGGTGGGGGCACAATTTGAAGGTTAGGGATAACAGCACGTGAGTGTGCAAGTGGTGGGGGAAGTATTGCACGTTGTGTGGTCGAGTGGAAGGGGTACGGCAGAGCACGTAGTGGAATCACTAGATGGCCGGCAATGTGCACCGCGTCATCGTTCCAAGTGTCTCGCTGTCGCTTGTCAGTGTTGGCAGCGCGATCTTTAGTTTATCATTTAACAATTGTATAATTTCAACTATACGCACACGAACACATACACGTACACATATTTAACACGTTTACTATCGCGAAAAGGAACAATCCGTGCCGCTGTTACAAGGAATCGTAGAAACTCACAATATACTCTTCGGTAGAAAGTTATAATAATAACAACAATATCGAAAGACTAATTTGCACCATTATATTTACACACGTTCCGAGTGTCATCGATTCATTCGATATGTGCTTTATCCTGTTTCATTTTATTACCCGGTTTCTTTTTCTACACATTAAAAATGCCTTTCTTAGTTAATCATTGATCTTTCTTGCACTTTCACCGGTGTTATCGGTCACATACCTATTCGTTCATCATAACCATTGGTCGATAATGTTAAAGATCGACTTGTTAATCCCTTCGAACGATTCAATTTATTGACCATAAAAACATCGAATGTCCCTCGCAACCGTATACATGCTGGAGATGTAAGGAACAGAGTCGAATGTGCGTGGTATAACATAAATGCAAAGGCCTCTCGATGCGTTGTAACACGACAAACATTGACGCTCGAGTGCTGTGAGTGCGTACTTGTGGAAGGTAACGCCTCGGAGTGATCCTCTCCCGCGAGGAAAGGACGAAAAGTGGTGCTAGCCGTCGAAGATGGAGAGTCGTGTGCTTGTCGGAGCTACGACGGAGGAGACAAAAGTAGCGGTAACCACAAGCTGCGGTATCGGAACACCCTCTCCAGTGGCAACGGCGCCGATCAACGCGATTTCCGGCGTCGCTGGTGCTGGCGCTCTCACTTCGGCCACTTGTACCATACAGAATCCTGTGGTCGCGGTGGCGAGCCCGTCGACTAAACATCAACAATCCACCGTCGTGCTGTCCACTATCCCTACCGTCCCTGCTGTCCCAACGTGTAAGTTTTTACGTTAAATATTTATACTTCTTTTTTCTTTACACGTATGTTAATAATGTTTCATTTTACTTTACTCTTTTTCACTTCTCTTTGTAAAGAGAATATGATTAAGAATTGTTTGAAAACAAATTTGGCGAACCTCTGATAGTTCGTTTCATAAAGTTAAAGAAAAAAAGTTAGGTTTTACTAAATCGTTAAAATGATTATCTGATAAACTTGTGGAATGATAAGTAGTATGTAACATCTCTTTGGATATGTATGTATAGATGAATATTTGATTGTTTTTTATTTTCAAATTATTTATTCGTTTTTTAGTATCCGTTGTAGTCAGTTCGCGAAATATTCTATGCGCAAAATAAACTATATAATTGAAAAGTCATGTTTCTTGTTTAATTGCAAGTGGCAAAAAACTGCAGAAAACAAGTGTGAACGACCTAAGAGCCGTGTTCTTACTACTTCAGATAAAGCAAATGATAGTAACAATTTCACAAAAGAAAATGATGTGATTTGTTCAAAATT